ATCAACGAGTGACACAAAACTCACACAAACGAACGAGCACTGAAATACAATACGATGTGGCACCGGTCTTGGCGTCCATGACACACACAAGCAGAATACAAAGTGTACCAAACGTCGAGGGCAAATGAAGCCCCAAACTCGTGCGGGTTCTTGGGACATGCAAGTAGACAAAAAAAACAGACAAAAAAAACAAACAAACAAAAACACCCCCCAACAACAAAACACGAAGCCACAACATCGAAACAAACAAACACAATGCGGCGACTTAGGGCACAGCTGGGCAGGGCAGCACGAGAGAATTCTGAGGGCCGCGCCAGAGAATAATTCCACTGTCAATCCACATCAGCTTGACACCAATTTCCTCGAGTAGCAAGCGGAAGGATCGCTCGGGCACCTTTTGCATCTCAGCATCATGGGCATTGTCCTCGAGCCACTGGATGATGTTGACGGCGGCGAGCTTGTCGAGGACTTGGCGGGTTGTGGCAAAGAACAGGTCGGAGAGGAGGTACTTGCGCCAGTTGTCCCATTGGCCATGGCAAGTGCCAAAGAAGGTGTTGGGGTCGCGCTGGAGAACGGTGCGAACGCCCTCCATGTCTGTTGGGAAGATGGTCAAGTCCGGGCGAAGGCGGAAGATGATGGCATCCGAGGCCATTTCGTGCCCGGTCTTGGTCTTGACGTACTCGAGAGCGAGGGCGTGGACCTGGCGCAGCGTGTAAAAGTAGCTGGCGAGGATGCGAGGGTTGGTGCCTTCCAGAATGGTTCGGCCAACCTTCATGCGCCCGGACTTTGTCACAACGTCGTCGTCCTCGACCATGGTGACGAGGTTTTTGACAAAGGGGAGTTGCAAGTCGAGCAGGAAGGTTTCCGTCGGGCCCGGGTTGGTGACGCTGTACGGCGCAGGCGGCTTGGCAGCATCCTCTGCACCGTGCCACCAGGTCAGCTCCTTGTGGTCGGTCTCCGACCAAGTGTGCTGGAAGACGAGGTACGGGACCTTGGCCGATGCGAAAAAGTCCTGCAGCCCTTGGCCCGTGTGGAAGAGGGTTCGGATGTGTCCTGCCATGTAAAAGAAGACCGTGTTGTCAAAGATTGGCTTGTCCGAGTTTGCGGCGGCGGTGGCGGCGATGGCTTGGGGCAGGTCGGCCGAGAACTTGCCAGTGCCCTGCACACGGAAGCGCGCGCCAGGCGTTGTGCCAATGCTGGCAATCTTGGGCACGTCGAACCTGAACTTTTGCGGGAAGACGACGTCCGGTCCCGGCAGCGGGGGCCGCTCGACGAGCGTGAGGCGACGCGGCGGTGCGTTTGGGTCTGGCTCGGGCTTGGGTTCGGGTTTCTTCTCTGGCTCTGGCTCTGGCTCGGCAGGTTTGGCTGCGTCCGGCTTCTTCTTGTTGTTGTCGTTGTTCGAGTCTGTCTCGGGCTCTGCCTCGGGCTCGGGCTCGGACTCGGACTCGGACTCGATGGTGAGGCGCTGGCCACGAGCAGCGAGGATGCGCTTTGCTTCGGCAATGATGCGGTCCTCGGCCTGGACGTTGGCGCCTCCGTTCGTTGAGCTGAATCCGCTCGACTGGGATTCGGATCCGGATGAGGCGTCGAGGCCGGTGGTCTTGTTGGCGTTGCTGGCTGGCGATGCGAACAGAACGAGGGCGAGGAGAGTGGCTGCGATTGCGACGCCGATGAGCACCTTGAGCCGGTGCAGCGACCAGGACATTTGGGAGGAGAGGGAGGGAGGGAGGGAGGGAGGGAGGAAGGGGGGGTGTGGAGGGTTGAGTGAGAGAGAGGGAAGGAGTGAGAGAGTGAGTGAGTGAGTGAGTGAGGGTTGAAGAAAGAGAAGGAAAAACAAAAGAGAAAAGAAAGAGTGCTGCTTTGTGTTGCTTTCAATCACTCCTGAAAAACACTCACTCACGCACTCACACCAGCATCAGACGACAGATTGCATGGGTGAGAGAGAGAGAGAGAGAGAGAGAGAGAGAGAGAGAGAGAGAGAGAGAGAGAATGAGAGAGAGAGAGAGAGAGAGAGAGAGAGAGAGAGAGAGAGAGAGAGAGAGAGAGAATGAGAGAGAGAGAGAGAGAGAGAGATAGAGAGAGAGACAGAGACAGAGAGTGAGAATGTGTGTGTGTGTGACCAATGGCAAGGTGTGATGATTCGCCCAGATCAAAACCCCTTGCCTCCCTTCGCTCCTTCTCAATCTCAATCTCAATCTCAGTCACTCAATCTCCGTCTTTAGTAGAACTTCACTCTTTTTTTTTTTCTTCCTTTCTTTCTTTCTTTCTTTCTTTCTTTAGTCTTTGTCTGAGTTTTTTTTTTTTTTTTCGTTGTATTTTATTTTATTTTTATTTTTATTTTATTTTAATTTTATTTTATTGTATTTTTCTTGCCACGTCCCGCTTTTTTTTTTTTTTTTTTTTTTTTTTTTTTTTCGTTTTTCACGCATTCACACTCGCTTCCCTTTGACTCGCTTCACTCTCACTTCACTCACTCTCACTCTCACTTTACTTGTCTCTTTACTACTCGCTGTCTCTTTGTCTCTCTGTCTCTCTGTGCGACCGAACGCCAACGCTCCTCCTTTCTTTCTTCGCGTCTCCTCCTCCTCATGTCTGGTCCCGTGCAGTACCCGCTCTCGACCAAGCTCGCGGCGTTCTTTGCGCTGGCCACCGTGCAGGTCGCCGTCGCTCTCGTCTACAAGGCCTCGCAGGCGGGCGGCAAGTACACGTACAGCCCGAGCTCAGCCCTCGCCATGGCCGAGTTCTTCAAGTTCTGCCTCGCGGCCCTCTTCCACCTCCAGGCGTCCCACTCGCCGCCGGCAGCAGCAGCAGCAGCAGCAGCAGCAGCAGCAGCCTCACACGCACAAGCACAGGCACAAACACAGCCAGCCATCATCACTCCTGCCTCGACGGGCGACAAGCAGCCGCTCCTGTCCGATGTGGGCGAAGGCACAGGCGTCATTCAGCCCACGAACGACTCGGTCTCCATCTCCTTGCCTGGCACCACCCCTGCATCATCATCATCGTCGTCGTCATCCTCTTCCTCTCCCTCTTCCGTTAACAGGGTGCCAAACTGGCTGCCGGGCTTTGTCGAGCGCGGATTTGACTCGTTCAGCCGCCAAGTCACCCCGGCGCTCGTCCAGCAGGACTTGGGCCTCGCTACGTTGTACTGCATCAACAACCACCTGTCCTTCTTTGCCTTCATGTACGCCGATCCTGCCTCCATCTCGGTGCTCAAGTCCGGCTCGACATTCATCTCGGCGGCCTTGTTTTACTTTGTCCTCCGTCGCCCCATCTACACGCTCCAGTGGGCTGCAGTCGCGCTGCAGGTCGCAGGCCTTATCATCGTCCAGTACGACCCGTGCAAGTCTGCCCTGCTCTTATCGTTCGGCACCTACGGCATCCTCTTTGTCTCGGTCACCATCACGTCCATTTGCGGCGTTTGGAACGACCACGTCCTGAAGACCAACGCTGCTTCGCTGCATGTCCAAAACATGGTCTTGTACGCGTTTGGTGTCGGCCTCAACCTGCTGGCCTTCTACTTTGTGCCAATGTTTGTCCTCGCCGCACGTCCGTGGGCCGCGCTGGGCTTCTTTGACGGTTACACCCCGACCGCGATGGGTGTCGTGCTCGCCAACTCGGTCATTGGCATTGTCGTCACTGCAGTGTACAAGTACGCCGACGCCATGGTCAAGACGTTCGGCTCGGCGTGCGCCGCCTGCGTGCTCCTGTTTGTCAACGCCTCCTTCTTTGACCTGACACCAAGTCTCGTCGCGCTCATGGGCTGCTTGGTCGTGTTTGTGTCCTCGTACATTTACTTTTTGGGTGCCACCCCGCCCCCCGCGCCTCCGGGTGGCGCCAAGCCCGTTGCCAGTGCACCTGAGCAGAGCATCTTTGCGAGGTGCCTTCCAAAGTCGATGCGCAATCGTCGCCGTGCCTTGATGACCGCCGTGCTTGTCGTTTCTGCCATTTTGGTAGTCGTCTTTATGGCTGGCTCAGCAGCACCCGGCCAAGTCGCACATGTCGTTCCAGGGCTGCGCGAGTCTGCGTCCTTCCCAGCAGCCACGCCGACCGAGGTTTAACGGAAACCCGGTGTGTTTTTATGTTTGTGTGGTTGTTGTCATGAATTTTCTTTTGTTGAAAAATGGTAATCGCTTTGAGAGTAGTAGTCACAGCAACCAGAGCCTGCTGCTGAGCGCGGTGGACGGACGGATCAATCAATCGACATTCTGACTTTTATTTCGCTTCTTTCCCCGTTGCTTTCGATGGAAGCTGCTACAATGATTCCATCTTCGTAAAGCGTCGCGTCTCGGCTCAGTCTTCTGTTTCCTGTTTGTGATGTCGGCCAAACCGAAGTCGCAAGCGGGTCCGCCGCCACCAGCCGCCAATCCGAAGCCGAACGCGCGTACCGCGTCCGCAGCTTGCTTCGACGATGTTGACGCTAGCCAGTCGACGAAACGAGCCAGAGCGAACGTAAGCGGCTTGCTGTTGATGTTCCAAATTTAGTCAGATTTTGTGTCTCGGCAGTTCCCGCCCGTGGCTTTTTGCCAGCCTTTGTTGACGCCCGTTCTGCTCTCTAACGCGATTGCGTGAATGTGTACTTGAGAGTTTCCACCGCAGTCATGTTGTGCTTCGGCAACGGGTGACGATGCCAAAATGTTGCCCACTTTCGCGCCCGAATTCTAAACTTTGCCGTTTGGTTAATAGAATCAACAAGTTGTCGACAACGCATCCCACGGCGCTGACTGCAATGACGAATGCCCTGACGGCCGTGACGCAAGGGCAAGCAAATGTCGCAATGCCAAACTCGGGTAAGAACTGACTTTCTGTGTGTGTGTGTGTGTGTGTGTGTGTGTGTGTGTGTGTGTGTGTGTGTGTGTGTGTGTGTGTGTGTGTGTGTGTGTGTGTGTGTGTGTGTGTGTGTGTGTGTGTGTGTGTGCTGATTTCTTTTCAAACACTCGAACAACTACGTTGAAGCGGAGGTAAATCCGACTGCTTTCATTTATGATCTGATAGCGGATGCTCACTTGATTTCCCTGCCACCCTATTGTGATTCGTTTCCCGTGCCAGAGGCCTTCGTCAGAGGAACTTTTAGAGCGCGACAAGGCCATACAGGCTGCTTCGAGACTGCTCACGCAGAACAAAACCAACTCCGCGAGTGCTAGCGACCGGCACCCTATCGGTGTGATTGCGACACTGCCTGGTGCCGGCAAGACGGCTTTCTGCGAGATCATTCATTCGAAACTCGCAAAGCAGGTGTACAATGACGAAAATTTCATCAGTTTGAACGTCACATTCAACAGTCGAATGGCATTCCAGTCGACGGAATGCTCGCTGCATCCTGAACACGCCGTGGCCTGGCGTATGCTCGCCGATTATATGCGGCTTCCGGGTGATCTAATGAACAGGTTCCGTCTGACCCTCTCTGGCTCATTCGCCGTAGCAACCACCATTCACTACATCCGCCAAGACTTTATCCGGCTCAAAAACCTGCCTTCGAACACGGTCGTACCGGTCGTCGTCACTCTTGATGAAGTGAGCATGCTGCTTGGACAAACAGTCAACGAGAAATTCGACCGCGAGTTTAGCACGTTGCCGCAATGGCGCCAAGAACGTCGGTTCATCAAATGGGCTATCGCGCCACTGCGAGAATTGTCGAATTCAGGCGGGAAGGTTACTTTATTTATGAGTGGGACGCGTCCTTTTGCGCTGAGCGACGCTGTCCAGGTGGACATGTCCGACAAGGTCACCGGGAGCAGGTTTTTCGCTTGGTTGATCGAGATGCCACGTCTCTCTGGCGCTGCCTCGGCTCAGCTGGCGACCCGCCGTAACAACAACGCAGCTTGGCATCGAGATGTTTGGAAAACGCTGTTGCTCCAGCGAGCACTGGGCATTCCTCGCCAAATTAACAACATTTTCACGACCGACAACCGTTCCATGCCGATCACGATTGATCCCAAGTCTTTGATTGCTTTTGTTCGAGCCATTGCTTTCAAGTCGACTCTCGACGATTGGGCAGATGCTCGGATTGACAGGTTGGTGGATCTTGGACTCTGCTTTTGGACCTCACTCTCTCAGCATTCCTTCTCTCAGCAACTGATGCTAAACCTGCACTTTCTCGACCTTGTCAAACTCGGTGAGTCGCTTGCTGACGTTGCATTTTGTCCTTGCAACGGCTACTTACTGCACTTTCGTGCTTGCCCGCCCCGGTGTCTGCAGATGATGACCAGTGCGCGTATGGCCACATCGCCAGCAAACTGCTCACTGAACTGCAAACAATCGGGAAGATGAGTCAGCCGGAGACTGTTAATGACAATGCGGTCTCTCTTCCCTCGCACAACTGGGAGCAAATTGTGCCGCGCTTGCTCAACCTGCGCCTGCTTGTGGAGCTGTGCGATGCGTGCGCCAAAACCAAGGGCGCACCACAGGCTGCCGATCTGACACTACCTCTTCCCACACTGTTTGAAGGCGCCGTCTTGAGCGACGACTTGCAGTCAGTCATGGTCGTTTTGCGACAGTTTGAGCGAGCGGTCGATTCGATTCCAGATGGGTTTTCCTTGACCCGCGTCAACGAGGAGTTCAGCGATTTGAATGCCAGCTTTGTGTCGGTCAATGGTTTGGACGTAAGAGGTCGAAACGGTCTTGTTGACTCCAAACTACATGTATGCGCTGCCACTCACATGCATGACAACAGTTGACTGTGAAGGGTCAAGTCAAACTTCGAACAGGTGTCGCGCCCTTGTCGCAAGCAAACGCCAATCAGTTGATCTCCAATCAACGCAGCACGCCAACGCTTATTGCTGGGCTTGTCACGACACAGACAATGTCCAAGCCGGTCGCGTCTGGCAACCTCGACGACAGATCTTGGCTCGTCTCGCGCAATGAACTGGGCGACTTCTTGTGCGGTCTTAAGCCTGTTTTTGATGGTATGCAGCAGAGATTTCTGTTTTGAGCTTATTGTCGCATGGATGTGCTCTCAGTCTGGCTGAACTTTGCAAAAACAACGAAACAAATTGTTGCAGCGCTCTCGTCGTACAACCCGAATTTGTCGGACGTGCCTGCTCTTCCCAACCATTTCTACAACAGCAAGCTGACACAAGCTGAAGCTCGCGATTTGGCGCAGCGGTTTTTCGACAAGCGCAGCGCAGACAAAACGGCCTATTTCGACAATCATGCGAAGCTCCACCAGTTTCTGAAAGACATTGACCCCGGTCTTGCTGCGAAACTCTCCCCTTCGGATCTCACCTGGTACTTTGACGAACAGCCACCTGTGACAAGCCCGATCAATCCGTACTGAACGTTTCCTGGGGAGCACAATGGGGTTGTTCTTTTTCTTGTTCTTGTGCTTGTGCTTGTGCTTGTTCTTGTGCTTGTGCTTGTTCCTGTTCTTGTTCTTGTTCTTGTTGTTGTTCTTGTTCTTGTGCTTGTTCTTGTTGTATCAGGTGAAATGTGCACTTACAACATTTTGACCCGTCTAAAGCTTTATTGAGAATGACAAAGAAAGACACAAAAAGAACGGATATGGGACAGTTGAATGTTGTTATAACGCACACAATGAAGGCATGCGGGTAGAGAGCTCGAACAGATGATCAGCCGGGCTGACAATGGAGAGATCAGGCATTCCCCACATATACAGCACGAAAGACATGTTGCAATAAGAGAAACAAATGCCAATGACAGGATTTCCAAAAATACTTAGTTGAACAGGTTCAGTTGCCGTTTCCTTCATACCGTACGCTTGTCTTGAACACGATGCTGAGTGCTCGTCTTTCGCTCATCAAAGTAGCATTCCGCGGTGCTGCTTCATGGACTGCCACGACTCTTGCGCCGAAACGTCTGCATGGTAAGGTTCTAGCTCCTGTTTTCAGTCCACCAATGCCTTTCCCGCTTCTGTGCTGCTGGTCAATGAGAGCCAACGCGCGGTGTATTTTTAGTGTGGCGTGCATGCGCGCCAACGTTCGGCCAGGTGTTGTCTCTCGCTTCTGTGCTGAGTTTGGTCTCATTACCGGGCATCAAAGCCCCTAGACTCGCGCTGCGCCCCTTGCCTACAATGCCAACTCCATCACCTGCGTACTAGCAGCTGGTGACTGGTGTGCGTCGTCTCTTTCGGCTTGAAGACTTGTCTCGGCTGTGTTGCTTTTAACCAAATTAGGCAACCAATATTCTCTTGGCGATTGCAATGCTTCTCGACATCTCGACTTGAATGTGTGACAGCAAGTGCTACTTGCTTTGAAGAATACTGCCCAATCCACTCACTGCCTATTGTGCTTGTAGTTGCGCCACCCACTTCAGCCGAATCGGCCTTTGACGCCTTCCTCTCCCCCTCTGGCGCCGTCCTCGGTCCCTCCTTTGGCGCCCTCCCGTTCCCCACCTTTGGCGGCGTCCGCTCCCGTATCGAGAGGAACTATGAACGCTCCAGCCTGCTCCTGTTGCCCCGCAGGTCCCGCTCGACCTCCGCTTCTGGCCCTCCGTCCGGGACTGAAGCCAGAGCCCCTGCTGTAAGCATCCTTATCATGGTCTTGAGTTGCATGTTCTCAGGCTCACACTGTGTCATCGTTCTAGGCGACTGTCGCTTCAGCGGAGCATGACCGTGCGTTGATTGATCGCCTGCCCGAACCCCTCCGCGAGCCTTTCGGTACGATTCCTCCACTGCTTTGGAGTGTAGAGTTGTTTCGCCGACTGACTTTGAACCGGCGTGACAACAGAGGCGAAATGGGAGGCACCCGCCCTTCGCAAGCACCTGCTCAAGGAACTGACGACTCCGGCAATTCAGCTGACACTTTCGAAACAAACTGCAATTGATGCGTTTCTGGCCGAGCTCAAAGCATTCAAACGCGTCACATCTGCCGCCGTTTCCGACGTTGTGGCGACACGCAACAAAGGTGTCGAGACGCTTTACTCAGCGGCAGATTCCAGGTCATTCGCTCAAACGTTCTACGGCTGGGTCGAGCAGTGGTCCAAGAACCAAGGTACGAACTGACGTGCA